ATGGAAGTAGGCAGAAACGCAGTTTTTATTATTAATATGAAATTCGTCAAATGTTTTTCTTAATCATCTTAAGTATCTCCTAATCTTCGGTTTCTTTCACTTTTGTCTACACATAGCTCACAAGGTGGTTTCAGTTGTCATGGATACCCCGTCGTCTCAAGGTATCGTCATGTCTGCTCCACATCTGCTTGTGTACTTCTAGAAAGTGAGTTTTCGCAGATTCACCATTTAAAAAGAATAGGGGTGTATGTATTTTTTCCAGCTATATGATATTTTGTATAATTAATACAAGAACACAATTATATAGAATACACTTTATTAGTAAGTATCATTCTCCCGGACGCTCCCTGGCATTGCCCGGACGCTCCCGGACGTTTCCGGACGCCCCTGGGCGTTATTTAGTAGGACCGGTGTTCGTTTCTCAACTGATCACTTAGATTGTTTCAGGTGTTTCACATAGGTGTCATGTCTCAAAGGTCGGCTGAGAAAGCCCACGTGACAGCTATACTGAACCAAATTAAAAACTTCACGATCCTAGAATTTTAACATTTTGACCAGTTATCATTGTGGGCCCTTATTGTGTATTTAAACAGTAATGGCCACGTATTGTCTTCAGGTAACACCCGTTTTTGTGCAGGTGAGTCGATCAAAATCATGTGCATAGCACTATAGGGGCAAAGGTGGTTTTTCACGTGCAACTGGTCACGTGGCCATAATACCACACGTGTTTTCAGCCATACTTGTTAGCAGTCATTAACAAAAAAAGAAAAACACAAGAAAACAAAAGTATTTACGGTCATTTGTCATGCCACGCCTTTCAAATGTGCAACGTGAACGTGCCATCGGCATGTTGCAGACGGGAACGTCCGTAGCTGAAGTCGCAAGGACGATGGGTTGTAATCGACGGACTGTTTATGATTTACAGACGCGTCTACAGCAAACGGGTACCACCGCTGATCGCCCTCGGCGAGGTCGACCACGTGTGACGTCACATGCAGAGGATCGTCAGATTGTCTTACGTAACCTACGTAACCGACTTTTGACGGCTACATCAACCAGAAATGAACTGTTTAGGGGTAGACTGAGTGCGCAAACTGTTCGAAACCGTCTGAGAACTGCTCACATTCAAGCACGACGGCCATACTGCGGGCCGATTCTGACTCAATTACACAGACGTCAACGTCAATTGTGGGCACAGCGACACTTACGATGGACTCAGAGGAATTGGAACGAAGTCGTCTTCAGTGATGAAACCCGATTTAATCTTCGACTTGCTGATGGTATATAAGTAGGGCAAGGGTGTGGAGACGCCGTCATGAACGTTACGCCCAATGTTGTGTAGTGGAAGTTGACAGATTTCGAGGCGGAAGTGTCATGGTGTGGGGTGCTTTCTGTGGCAATGCACGTTCCAGGCTTCTTGTCATCCGTGGCAACCTCAACGCTGCTGCTTACCGCGACCAGGTACTGGCACCAGAACTTCTGCCTTTTATGGCAGCAGATGGACCCGGTTTGATCCTCCAACACGACAATGCCAGACCCCACACAGCAATTTTTACAAGGAATTTCCTTCAGAATGCGGGAGTCAATGTCATGGACTGGCCGTCAAGGTCTCCCGACCTCAATCCCATCGAACACGTCTGGGATGCTCTTGGCAGAAGTCTGCGCACTCTCCAGAACCAACCACAGAATTTGCAAGATCTTGGCACCATTTTGCAGCAACAATGGCGTCGTCTTCCCAATCATGTGTTCACAAGCATCATAAGGTCCATGCGGAGGCGTAATGTGGCAGTTTAAAATCCTTCTTTAGACATTAATGATTAAAAATTACCTTCTCTGATACATTTGTCCATTGTATATCATATATGGGATTACTTTTTAAAATGTTGAGTTTTTAATTTGACTCAGTATATTTTCATAACGTCCATGGTTCCTAAAAAAATCCATTGAGTTAGATAACAATGAGCATCAATCAATATATTATCGGTTAACCCTTTGAACAAAGTATGTTGTTTTTACATCGGCACTTCACGCCATGATATGAGTGTATTCCCTTTGTTTTAGTAAACCTAGACATGTAAACACTCACTTTTGACATTTCCACTGTGCAAGATAACACTGATTAATCAATCAATGTATTTTCTGTTAATCCTTTTATGACTAGGAACGATCCGTTGATTTACAAAAAAAGTAAATCGACTGATCATTCATCTTTTGCTGGGCTGCCACGTGCATATTTCACCTCACTTGAAATCTGGATTTAGATAGAATAATTACCCCAGACACAATAAATGCCAAATAGGAACCTTTGTCAGGTATTTTGAGCGGTGCTACCACTAATTATACCTGTAATAAATTCATTAACTGAGCATCAAGCGAATGACGACAAATACACACAAGTGTAGGGTTATACGAGGCAACGTGGATGACAACAAGGGAGTAGTAATCGTATTATCGACTCAATCCGAAATCCGAAAATGCTTTCACTGCATGGATATTCTTTTATTATTAAACTATAACAATCATATAACTATTTCCAAATGACGACATCCGATGAGCTTCTTTTTGTCTGTTTGTTTAGGCTGAAGAAATTAATTAACATGCGCCCTTTGTCGAAATCTTTATAGATCACGGTAAACCAGTCAGTGTTCAAAAATGAGTAAAACAATTATTGCCTCCATGTTCAGCTGTCCTTGCAGACGGTAGCCCAGTCTTGTCACGCTCAGTTGCGTTGCGTATCATCCGGGTACTCACGAGGAAAAAACAATAACAAGGCCCGGGGAATTGCTTTAGATCACTGCCATCTAAATTGATTTTTGTCATTTCAATAAATAAACATTGCCAGAAGATGTTTTCAGGTTGCAGGTATTATTGTGTATTGTTTGCATCGTCGGTTTCAGCTGAATGTGTGGCAATTCTGAAGAAACCTAATGCCTTTCTCCAAAGAGACTGTGTGGTTTGTTCTGAAGAATATATGTTTCTACCTTATGTCCAAACAGTGTTATCTAACACATGATAGTGGGAAAAATCTCGATGAGTTATGATTTCGCTTATAATTAAGCCTTGAAGTGGATTATCAATGGGTTATGTCTTTTCTGTGCCACTTCATGGAGTCATACGGTGATTGAATTGCCTCTCGTGCGTAACAACGCAAAGATTAGTAAGAATATCAAAGCAATATATTATTACTGTCAAACTGTGAATACTTCTTTCCATCTCATCAACAGCGATAGTCTGCACCCTCATAATCCAATACATTCCAAAGCCCTGACATTCCTGAACCCTGACAGTCCTAAACTCCAACATTCCAGAATCTGACATTTCGGAATCCCTACATCCTGAAGACCAGACATTCCTAAACTCCATCATTCCGGAACCCTGACATTCTTAACCTCCAACATTCCCGAACCTAACATTCCAGGAACGCCTTTATTATGGAGCCCCGACATTCCTGAAAACTGACATTCCTAAACTCCAACCCTCCTTAACCCTGATATTTCTAAACTCTGACATTTCAAAACGCTTTCTGGGACCCTGACATTCTGGAACCAAAACATTCGTAAGCTTCGACATGCCGGAATGTCGACAATCAGCATCTGTTACATTCCGAAATCCTGACATTCCTGAACCACTATATTCTGGAGTTCGGACATCTTCCAGAGCCATGACATTCCTGAACCCCGAAATTCCCAAACTCAGACATTCTGGGACCTAACATTCCTGAACCCAAACATTCCTAAACACCGCCATTTCTGAAGCTAATTTCCGGAAGCCCAACATTCCGGAACCCCAAAATTCTGTACCCCACATTCCTGAAGCCTGACATTCCTTAACTCTGACACTTCTCATCTCCGAGTTTCAGGAACACGGACATATGGGAAACACCATTCCTAAACTCCGACATTCTGGGATTCTGATATTAAGGATCGATCTTCCACATTCTGGAATCCTGAACCACTATATTCTCGAGTACCGACATTCCGGAGCTCTGTATAACGGAACCCCAACATTCCTAAAAACAACAACATCTGGAATGCCGACAAAATGGAACTCCTACAATCCATAGAAGACTAATGTGATGTGTTCGTCATGCCTCAAAGATGTGAGCTGGACATGCATCACGTAAGAAACAAAAGACAGTAAATAGCTTAAATAACTATTTGTGTCATATTAAGCAACTCAAAATATTATGATGAAAAACATAACTTTCACAGTTACATATACAATAAATTTGTAGTATGTAGCCCAAATAAGATATGAAACTTTTTATGCAGACATCCTCATTGCAAAAGTGCTATAAGTTACCCAAAGGGATAATTATTGTAAACTGAAGCGGCAATAAAATACCCCCTTCTGTTGAAATTTATTGAAAAATGTTGTTGTGCTCCTAGCTGACCGGCCAACCACCGCCAATCAACGGGAGCGTAGGTAGGAAGTGCAGTTAGTTAGGACTCGGCTTTCAGTAGCAAAGGCATATCTAGAGGAGAAACAATCTTAAAACTGCTTGTGTAAACTTGTAATATGAGAAAATTCCAAGATTGTACATGAAACATTAAAGATATTTGTTTATCCCAAAACTCTAGGCAACAGGTCCACATCAGGTCTCTTGAACTGGTATTACTTGGATAACACGTACACGGTTCTGGGGAATATTCTTTACGGAGAAGGTATACTGATGGAGATGCTCATAAGTCTGTGCTTTACGAGTTGGAATACCTATGCAGAATAATCACCGTATGTTAACACGTTCCTTTGGAAACAAACGCCAGACTGATGCTAAGTTCTTGGTGAAATTTCCCAATCAGCGTGTTTAGATTGGGGAACAGACTGATCACCACGTTGTAGTAGTACGATCTTACAGGCTTGAAGCAAGGATGCCAGCATTATAGGCACCCAACTCTACCGGCGCCTTATTCGATTTTTATACCATTTACTTAAGGCCTTGTTACCGACACTATTAATGTTTTCAGTAAAACATCTTAGAATATTAGATGGAAATTAACTTGTCTGTCCTCATGATTTATTCAACAAGTTAGGGTCGGCGGATCCGTAAAGCATGGAAATAAAAACAAAAACGTCATAGCAAACTTTCTGTGTGGATAGAATATTGCCAGAAGCGTATCCCTTATCCTGTACTTTTGTGTATATATCAAAGCAAATGTATGTTACATCTCAACGAACCAGTCAATTTTTGCCACGTCGTTGACTGTGCTGTGGTTTCCGGCGGACCCGATGTTAGATCTATACGTCTTGTAGCTGCCCTCTATCGTTATGATGGATGATACCACGCCACATGTGTCCGTAAAATGGAAGTCATTCCCTCGTCCTAACACTAGATCTGCGTTGTGGATGATATCCACTGCTATTCGACCTGTGCTTGAAACATCCACATCGTCCACCTCCAAAGCCTTGTACATGCCATTTGTGTGAAGCACACCAACTCGAAGTGATCTCCCTTCATTGACCTTGTTTAACAAATCTGACATTGACCCAGACAGCACAGCCCCGGTCCCGTCTATGGTGAAAACTTTATCCCACTGTCGTGAGTCTAGGAACCAGATGGAGGGTTTCTCGCTCTCTGTTACATCCTCGACGACAGCGGACTCAGGAACGTGGATGCACTGAACATCGCGACCTGTCGTTGAAGCCATGATCCACGCTTGACGAGACCCGGATGAGAAGGCATCTTTATCAGATGGTACCCAGAATTCTTTGATACTTACAGTCACGTGGCCGTCGAGTAGAATTACTTCCCGTGCCTTTGCTACCACGTTTCCAACCTTAACCATGACATTGTGTCCATGTTGTACCCCGTTTGTTAGATGACGGATATGTTTGTCCTTGTTTGAGGACGAGGCCCTTGTGTCAAAGGCATGATGCCAACACGTGTCGGGACACCAGGGCATGGTTTCGGAGCCTTTTGTCGTTTTGCGAAATCCCCCTGAAATATCCCATCTTATGACATCTGTTTTCCCTGACGTACCTTGTTTCTTAACATACCAGTAAAAAGGTAAACTGAATTCAGGCAACGGCCTTTGTGACAAATGACCAGTTATCTGCCCATATACAGTGCTGTTGCTATCATCTATATCGTAGGTATCAAAATTGGGATCGATTTCCCCTTCGAACAGACTGGTCAGAACAGATCCAATGTCATTGGCACGGGATGTGGATACGCACTTATCGTCTTTCACAAACCAAATGACATCTCCGTCATACCCGCTTTTCGTGGCTATTCCGTCGTCATCCACTGACATCAAGTTGTTTTGCGCGTCCGACACAAACAGATCGAACTCACGTTGTGGGGATGGTTCAAAGGCATCCCAGGACGATTTACTCAACCGTCTTACCGACTGGCCCCAAATATTCGGACCGCTTTTGACGCCACATGAATGGAGGTCCGTGACCCTGTTCCAAAGGTCAAAATCAGCTTTGACGCGGAGTTTGGGTTTACAGGCTGCGTTAATTCGAGTGTTTAAATCATCTCTTTGTCCACTCGGCGTAGCTGATGCTGTTGTCGTGGCCACATGTTGCCATGTACTGTGAGACGATGCTGTAACATTGACAACAAGCAGATCAATTACACATAACAATGGACAGTAGTTCAAATGTAGCTCAGCCTAATGTGACAGGTAAGCCCAATGTGAAATCCGGTCGTAAACGTTTACCAATTTCGTGGAACCCATGAAAACAGGTACCGGAGACTTTAATGTATTCTAAACAAAGTAAGGGCGAATCTAATTTTGCGCCGCAGTAAGCAATATCACAGCTCTGTTGCAGTCCGTAATTAATCGGAACTTGATCAAACAGACCAGTGGTTCGAAGCTCAAGCTTCTGGACACGACACAAACATAGCCAGGTCACAAACGACGTCTACACGTTTCGCTTTTCATTTCTTCTCTCTCAGTTATTGGACATACTCGATTGGACATACTCGATAGGACCGCCTCCGTGGTCTAGTGGTAGAGCGTCCGCCCGGAGAGCGGAAGGTCCGGGGTTCGATCCCCGACCGCGTCATACCAAAAGACGTTAAAAGATGGTACTTGTTGTTACCCTGTCTGGCGCTCGGCACTAAGGGACTAAAACAAGGACTGGTCGGCTATGAGTCAGTATACTGTGTCTGAGTAGGGTATTCATGTTAAACTGCGGCATGGTATCTCAGTGAGCTAGCACTATAAATCGGCATCAGTCCGGACTAGTACAAGCAGCCACACACACACACAAGTGCATGCACGTCGCTATATAAGTGCAATAATCTTGGACGCGACGTTAAACCCCATTTCACCTCACCTGACTCGATAGTTCAACGATGGTTTTAATGAGGATAACTTTCGTTTATCAGAAATTGACTAAATATTCCGGCTCTGATAGGAACCCATGATTCATTATTTCGGACATTTATTAATACTGATGGTTTTACTGGATTCGGTGCAGTAAATTGTAGTCAGTTAAACAAGCATTGGCTGCAGAACCCTTTGCACACACCATCAGAAAATAGAATTGGATGGTTAGTTTTGATACCGCATGTGAAGACACCTATTCATAGATGAATCGTTCCAGACCCAATATTCAGTATGAAGTGGTATCACTCACCTGTACAAACCAAGTCTGTTTGTGACCAAGTTCCATTAGATAGGCACACTGATGTTCCGGTGCCCGATGATGAGTACCCTTTAACGCAGATCGAGTTTGCCTCGGCACCGAACGTCGTATTGGCGTAGTCGACCATGGCGCCGTCCTGATATGGAGGGAGGCCGCAGTCTACAACTGAGTGACACAACAGACTTTTTGTGTTATATACGAGTGCAGCTGGTACCTTTCGTTCATAATGTATTTATATATATAATGTTTTATTTAACAAATAATTTTCGCTGGACGTAATGATGTCCTGGGAATATGTGGACAGCAAAACAAAATGATCACTCCTTTTCAGAGAAAGATTGTGTGTCCTGAAGCACTGACAGAAAACCCTATGCACACGCACACTTCGATTCAAGTCTTGTTAGAAAACGTCGGGACAAACATTATCTCAGGTGAAATTATGACATCTTGAATCGAATTCCACGAAACGTATGCAACAAAGCTTTAATAAAACATGCATCGTGTATTTTTCTATCATCAGATTATTGTATTCACAAAAGCATGTAATGTTTGTATATAATAATCGTTTTCTGCTTAAAGATTTGGATGAGGGTGAGAGTCACACAATTCATGGCAGCAAACATTAGGTCGTAGTGACAATCCAGTTTTAGGATGCATTGTACACCATTTTCAATGTGAGCCCAGCCCTTCATGTGTTGATTTGTTGTGTATCGTATAATTGTAGTGGGTAGTAGTTACATAAGATACTTCCACACTGAAAGGCCACATGTCCATAGTAAAGATCTATTTTCGGCAGTATGATAAGTGAACAATGAATGTTTTTTTATGAGTACACTTCTCAGTTGTTGACATAATCTTAGACAGTCGTACTTTGGACAAACTAATAGAAATTGAAGCTCATCAAGCATACCCATAGCCGCAGAAACATATCTTTAACACTTGAATGTAGCTGTATATCATACATTTGTACAGCAAGTCCATTGATGAACCAAAACAGAAAACGAAAGGGCCAAGAATACAGCCTTGGTGTAGTCCAATGTTACATGTCAATACATCAGAAAACATTCCATGATTTCTGACACATGCCTTTACATTTTGATAAATATTGCATTATAATTTTGTTATTCACGCCATTTGAATGAGTGAGTGAGTGAGTGAGTTAGTGACTTGGGTTTAAAGCCGTTTTTAACATTATTTCAGTTATATCACGGCGTGTCAGCTTAATGTGGGAGGAAAGCCTGACGTGACTGAGGTTTCAGACGTTTACCACTTCAGTGAAACCCACGGGCACGGGTATGGTGCTGACAAACCAAGAACCATAATCGGGGCGAACCGGGATTCGAAACCACAATCATAGGTTTCTGGCGTGCCCAAGGCAACTCTGCACAGCGAAATGCGGCGTCTTAGACGACTTGGCCACCCGTAAGTCCTCGATATCTGTTTGCATTAGTAATGATCCTGATTTGTGTAGCAGAATAATCACACCATAATACACTCTTTCGGAAAATAAGACATCATTCAGGGTATCTGAGTAGAATATTAACAGTGCTTAAGGTTTAAACCATTGATGACGGGACTGCTGGTTTATCAATGTCAATATTAGTTTTACAACCGTATTGAAATGTTTCTATTCAAGCACGTGGATTTCTAATTCTAGTATATTCCCTCAACGACATAAAATCTTTATCTCTTGTGAATTTGCTGAGCCACATAATCTCATTTTGTAGCAATTGCCTTTGCTGGGTTTTCTTTTAAAGTGAGTTAGTTTCTTCATTTCATCACCATCATAGGAAAGTACCTCACATATAAACTCGATACTGTCATTACTATTTGTAAATACAGCATCAACTGCTTTTTCAATAAGAGATAAAAATTTCAAAGAAAATAAATTACCAAGAAATATTTCTTTTTTTATTGGAACTTCATTTCAAACTAAATGAACTTGCATAAATCATGACCCTCATTGACTGAATGAAGCGTACGTAAAAGCATGGCAATGGAAAGTGTTGCGAATGTGCCTGTGTTCAATGCCTTATAGAAGTAAATAATAATTAGGTAATAGTAATATTATACTCATTTACGCTGGCCCTTATATCACTAATGAATGTATAGCCCCTAATAACAGCATCACTGAGACAACGACCATTCATGATACGAATATTTAAGACAGAGTATAGGTTTATGAAATATATCCAAACTTATTCAATATTATCAGCAAACTTTCTCTGTAAATCAAAATGGTACATCTGAAAATTTCAAGATTAGTTATAACGAACTTCAAGATAATCTAAAATGTCCGCCCTCCACAATATTGGTGTCTCAGTTCTAGAATTAATATCTCTGCCTCTCAGACCTCTTTGGAATCACTGCACGGTATCATGGATACGTGAAACAGGTTTTGATGCTTTAAAAAGTTTCGGACAATTAAAATAGCAGAAATGACTCATTTTGATTTGAAGCCAATTTGTTTTGTTAGTGACTGTTGTTAGCTCATGTGTTTTGTCAAAACCGGTATTCTTTTGAGCAATAATGCCACTGAGGAAGATATCCATCTTGCAGCATGAGGTAAAGTTTCACATTTGAATTCAGGCACATTGAAATACTTCGCAATCAAGAACTGAGTGACCCGAGTTCGCTGGAATTGCTCATAGGAGATAATGTGCTTGAACTTAAGTTTTCAATCTATTCGTGGAATACTTTACTTTTGGCTACTCAAGGTTTGCAACAGATCATAAAGACTGCAGTGGGAGGTGAAAAGCAAACTACCAGCATCACTAATAAAGTGGGGAATTAAACGATTTGGTGAAAGGTCTTTCAGACATTCGTTTGAAAAATTGCATGAACCAAGATAATGGTTTCATGGATGGAAAAAGGCAGTTGATCATGTAAAAAGTAAGGCATTTTATTGGATAAATGATTCTAAACTTCAAACCGATCAACTGCCTGAAATGTTTGATAAATGGGAAACCTAATTTGTAATGTGATCAAGATCACGACCATATCCAGGGCAAGAGACCCAGTCACAGTGGATATCAGCGCAAGCGGATCTCATGACACTGATAGATGAGGGACGGGCTGGTGTGCTGGGGGTGAAGTGTTACATGGGCAATACAGCACAGATTGGTGATCTCACTCGGAGTTCCAGTATCCCATCAGTCATGGTAAATGAATGATGCTCACCGAAGATGTCAAAACAACACAGGAATTCAGTGGGATCTAGTGTCATTTCATAATATGTTCTATCACTTGAAAAGAACAGTATCTTTTCAGATGACAAGAAAGACAAATCAAATGTGCGTACCAATGGTAGGAAACCGTGACTAGCAGACAAAAATGGCATGCCTGTTGTATAAACTTCCAACACCCATCAAGGCGTAAATGTCCAAACTGTCTGTTCTCACATTCCTGAATATGGAGGGATGTAGGGAGAAGTACCAGCAGCATCAACACAACAACTCCTCGTAACAAATAAGACCTCTCTCTCTTGCCAAGTGGAAAAATATGACGTATTCATGACTGTAGTAAATCTACGGGAAAGGTAGTGAACTCTTACACGACATTAACACCTTTTGCATACCTGGCAGTTGATGATGCCATTAAGTTAGAGTTTGTTTACAGTGTACTTCCAACGACAACAAACTGCTACAAAGTGACAGGCCAACAGTCGTTGTTTAACGACTTCGATATTCAAGTGTATTTCTGTGATACAAATCTTCCTATTGATGTTGCAAAATGCCCATAAATATTTCAATAACTGTAGTGGGTGTCGTGAAACGTAGGGGTTTACTGTTGATTGCTTATATGGATGATTTTCTCAGTCTATCTGAAACGGGAAATCAGCATCTTCCCGAGGCAAGGGAGTTAACTGACTATGAGAGTCCAGTTTCCACCCTTGCCGAACTTGGCTGGCATTATGGATTTATTTTTTGGCAGGACTAACAGGTCTATACATACTCCATTCAAACTCGTGTAACGAATTTCGAAGTTGACATCGGGTTTGTAACCTGCCATACAGAATTTGGTCACTTGCAGGATTTGACATAGCTCGTAGAAGACACTGGTGGCGCTACGGTTGAGCCCCATGATGCCAGCCTAGTTCAGCAAGGGTGGATACTGGAATTTTACAGTCAGTTAACACCCTTCTCTCGGGAAGATGAAAAAGCAGTGACTAATGGATATCAAGTATTTATGAAGAGAAACTTCAACCAGAACTGTGCTCTTCTGTTGGTTAGAGAAAAGCAACTAAAAGAGAACCTCAGGAATTAAGAGGGAAGCTAAGCTTGGTTGCACATTTTATCCATTGTGGATGTACATTCCTCCGAAGGATAATATGTTTATCAAATACTCTCAATCATAGCTGTCACAATATCAGGCTTAATGAAAGCAGAGTAGTACATGCAAGTAGTACATGTATATCAGTAGGGGGTGCAGTAGTTTATTAAGGTTATTGGGTGTATTGCAAAAGGGAGAAGGACTTTCCAGAAATCAACACAGAACAACAACAACAAAAAAGGTATATGTGTCTGTGAAAAGGTGGTGCAAGAATGGAGTAATAAAAATATTGTGGTGCACATTGACTACATATGTGTAATGTAAAATATCAATATAGGGGAACATGTCAGACACCCCGGGTAATGGTTTGGCAAAGAGATTTGTTTTTGTTGTCAGCAGTGAAAAAAAACATGTTGTCATCATATTTCATTCCTAGAAAATACTTGTTGTATAGTCGTATACATTTCCAGTGTGTTACAGTTTATCCCAAGTTTATACTAAGTAAGGCATTGTGAACTGTGTACATCGCATGAACACTCATTTCTCTACCATGTCACACGGTCAGCAGAAACAGTGTGCAAACAAGCCACTTTCATCTGCTACATTTGTTCAGTAATGATTCAAAAGCTGACCTACCCTTGTGGCCTCACTAGCCATGCTTATTCCTCCCTCGTTCCTTACTATGATCCACATTATCCTCACAGTGTTCCCTCCTACACTCAGTCACAAAATCAATTATTATATACCATGTCATTCATGAGTATCCGTGAATTCGACGTCTGATGTGTGGAGCCATTTCAGATCGCGCCGTATCAGTTCATAATTTCACTACACTCTGTATCTTGTAGATTACGGAATGGGATTAATGTGCCAGACGACACCCTGATCACTCGTAAGTGTCATAGACTACAGTCACATGACACCATGTCTACCCGTAACCTTCGTAAATGTCCTTCACTTATTCGACCCTTTTCGTTCAGTTCCGTAACAACTTAGGCATAAACAGGTAAATTTGCACTTAGTTTAACAGTGTGGACAGAGCTCAGTCGGTTAGCTGTCAGACTTACTATCCGGAGGTCGAGAGTTCGCCTTATACAGATTCTCCTAACAATTCATTGTCTTAGAGACATGTGACCAACGGCAGAGATTGTCATCACGAGACGGTGTGGTGCTTTATTCTGAAGGTGCTTTCATTTATGCAGATTGGGGAATCTAGCATATGCATCTATGTGCACCTCCTATCTCAGATTCTGCTGGTATTTCGGCCCTCAGCCCTGTTCCAGCAGACATGTGACAGTGATGTTGCATTCCATTTTCCTGGTTTGATCACTAAAGGCCTCCATCCTTCCATCCTATCTGTAATGTTCTTGGGATTTGAAAGCCCTCTCGACAACTTGGAACATAGACTCTTGTTGAAAGAGATCAAGAGACCAAAGAGTGAACCGCCAGATAACATTACACATTCTTGTAGAAATACACAGGAAACAGTCATTAGGAAGTTAACGTTACTCACTGTGACGTAATAGACACATTTTTGTGCATGTGTGATGTGTCCTTGCACCGAACACAAGCAACAAGTGTGGTGAGTTATTCAAAGACAATTCAGTTTAGTAGACGGTGCTTAAAATTGCCATTATTGGTGATTTCAGAGTCCCTTCTATGTCCACTGAAAGCAATCCATGATAGGGTATCACAGTTTCCAGTAGGAAACACCAAGATACCACTATTCTCATACCTTAATGGGCAATGGGACGGTTAAATAGCGTGGATACAATTCTGATGACTACAGCGGACACTCCTTCCGAAGGGGTCTTCGGCTTTTGCCTTCAAGATGGTACTTCCCCAAACCTTGATAAAACTATTCGGAGACTGGCGGTCAAACGCATATGAACACTACATCACCATAGATGATACTCTGCATGTCAAACTAGTACAGCTTTAAGCCTGGGTACTGTATGATTCTATCTGTATAATGTAGATTAATTAGGATTAGTACCCAAGCTTTATACCATAATTAATGTTACATTTTGGGGTTTGGAGGGCTATCTCATTCATTGTAAGTTTTTCCAGTATGCCTGAAAATAAATTTGCCCTTGTACCCCAAAAGGTTTTACTGTGGTGTGTTCGGTGTTATACCTTGTGTGATGTTTTTGTCTCAAGCATTCTGCTGTTACATGATTAAAGTGTCCATGACAGCCCTTATGTTAGTTTCTACTGTTAGGTTTAATAATAAACTTACTTGTACAATTTAGGTCTATAGTTGACCATTTGGAGTCATCAGTGCACGTGCTGATCCCTGACCCTCCGTAGTCATCATAACCTTCTCTGCAAACGTACGTGGCGGTGGAATTGTACGACGTTGACGTCACCATCACATTATGTTCGACCATAGTAGGCGGCAGCCCACATTCAATCACTGAAAAGATATTTACTGCATTGAGAAAGATTGTCCAGCAATGTGACATAGGAGACATTGGAATGATGCTTTGTCAGTTTATAAGATTCTACTTATACTTTTATATATGTATGGGCTGCCATTCGGTCAAACAAAACAAAGTTGAAAAAAGGACAAAAGTACCCAATAATAGTCAAATGTTACGAATTAAGAACGAATGTTTCACAGAAAGGTCATTATTTACATACAAATAATGAACTCAAAATACAAAACAAAAATGTATATGATAAATACACGCCGAAGTGCTCAATGCATTACGTCATTCCTCGTGCACTCAGTATATATATGTGTATACATATTATTTTCATGTTGCATTTATGAATCAATCGTTCAGTCATCGTCACCGGAAAGTGTCACGTTTTAGTGGCTACAGTAGTACACAGCTTGATCTGTCCAACATAGCACATGTACACCCTTCAATAAACTCTCATCTAACTTCTCTAACGCTGAAGAAGGAATAATCTACAAGGAACCAATTAAACATTCATGCATGTTGATATGACTGGAGTAGTATAGATGACGGGGGTGCTGGCTCACCTCTCCTTGACTGAAAAAGCTTCTATGAGGGTCTTAAGTGTATGTGAATTGTAGGATGACGATCATTTGATCATGAAATTGCTTAGCAACTGTTTAGCAAAATACAGCAAAATTTAGCAACTGCTTAGCAAAATTTTGCAAAATATAGCACACATTAGCAGTCAGTCCCAAAATGCACCTGACAACAGTCACTAGTCCATAAATGCGCATCATTTTAGCAAATTATAAATATTATAGCAGTTTGACGGCAATTCTGATCCAGACGGTGATGCACTGTGATGCTGTGTTGTGTTGCATCGAGATGCCCTGTAGTATTGCACTGTGGTGTGATGTCAATGTGTAGTCAATGATGTCCATATGTAGTCATTGGTGTCCATATGTAGTCATTGGTGTCCATGTGTAGTCATTGGTGTCCATATGTAGTCAATGATGTCCATGTGTAGTCATTGATGCCCATGTGTAGTCAGTGATGCCCATTTGTAGTCAATGATGTCCATATATATGTAGTCAGTGGTGTCCATATGTAGTCATTGGTGTCCATATGTAGTCAATGATGTCCATGTGTAGTCATTGATGCCCATGTGTAGTGAGTGATGCTCATATGTAGTCAGTTATACCCATATGTAGTCAGTTATACCCATATGTAGTCAGTGATGCCCATGTGTAGTCAGTGATGTCCATGTGTAGTCAGTGATGCCCATATGTAGTCATTGATGCCCATGTGTAGTCAGTGATGCCCATGTGTAGTCAGTGATGCCCATGTGTAGTCAGTTATACCAATATGTAGTCAGTGATGTCCATGTGTAGTGAGTGATGCCCATGTGTAGTCAGTGATGTCAATGTGTAGTCAGTGATGTCCATGTGTAGTGAGTGATGCCCGCGTGTAGTCAGTGATGTCCATGTGTAGTCAGTAATACCCATATGTAGTCAGTGATGTCCATATCTAGTCATGGATGCCCATATGTAGTCTGTGATGTCCATGTGTAGTGAGCGATGTCCATGTGTAGTGAGTGATGCCCGTGTGTAGTCAGTAATGTCCATATCTAGTCATGGATGCCCATATGTAGTCACTGATGTCCATATGTAGTGAGTGATGCCCGTGTGTAGTCAGTGATGTCCATGTGTAGTCAGTAATACCCATATGTAGTCAGTGATGCCCATGTGTAGTGAGTGATGTCCATGTGTAGTGAGTGATGCCCATGTGTAGTGAGTGATGTCCATGTGTAGTGAGTGATGCCCGTGTGTAGTGAGTGATGCCCATGTGTAGTCAGTGATGTCCATTTGTAGTCAGTAATACCCATATGTAGTCAGTGATGTCCATGTGTAGTCAGTGATGTCCATGTGTAGTCAGTGATGCCCATATGTAGTCAGTGATGCCCATTTGTAGTCAGTGATGCCCATATGTAATCAGTTAGACCCATATGTAGTCAGTGATGTCCATGTGTAGTCAGTGATGCCCATATGTAATCAGTTATACCCATATGTAGTCAGTAATACCCATGTGTAGTCAGTGATGCCCATATGTAGTCAGTGATGCCCATGTGTAGTCAGTGATGCCCATATGAAGTCAGTGATGTCCATGTGTAGTCAGTAATACCCATATGTAGTCAGTGATGCCCATATGTAGTCAGTGATGTCCATGTGTAGTCAGTAATACCCATATGTAGTCAGTGATGTCCATGTGTAGTCAGTGATGCCCATATGTAGTCAGTTATACCCATATTTAGTCAGTGATGCCCATGTGTAGTCAGTTATACCCTTATGTAGTCAGTGATGTCCATGTGTAGTCAGTGATGCCCATATGTAGTCAGTGATGCCCCTATGTAGTCAGTGATGCCCATGTGTAGTCAGTAATACCCATATGTAGTCAGTGATGTCCATGTGTAGTCAGTAATACCCATATGTAGTCAGTGATGTCCATATCTAGTCATGGATGCCCATATGTAGTCAGTGATGTCCATGTGTAGTGAGCGATGTCCATGTGTAGTGAGTGATGCCCGTGTTTAGTCAGTGATGTCCATATCTAGTCATGGATGCCCATATGTAGTCAGTGATGTCCATATGTAGTGAGTGATGCCCGTGTGTAGTCAGTGATGTCAATTTGTAGTCAGTGATGCCCATATGTAGTCAGTGATGTCCATGTGTAGTCAGTAATACCCATATGTAGTGAGTGATGCCCATGTGTAGTGAGTGATGTCCATGTGTAGTCAGTAATACCCATATGTAGTCAGTGATGTCCATGTGTAGTCAGTAATACCCATATGTAGTCAGTGATGCCCATATGAAGTCAGTGATGCCCCTATGTAGTCAGTGATGCCCATGTGTAGTCAGTTATACCCTTATGTAGTCAGTGATGGCCATGTGTAGTCAGTGATGCCCATATGTAGTCAGTGATGCCCCTATGTAGTCAGTGATGTCCATGTGTAGTCAGTAATACCCATATGTAGTCAGTGATGTCCATGTGTAGTCAGTAATACCCATATGTAGTCAGTGATGTCCATATCTAGTCATGGATGCCCATATGTAGTCAGTGATGTCCATGTGTAGTGAGCGATGTCCATGTGTAGTGAGTGATGCCCGTGTGTAGTCAGTGATGTCCATATCTAGTCATTGATGCCCATATGTAGTCAGTGATGTCCATATGTAGTGAGTGATGCCCGTGTGTAGTCAGTGATGTCCATGTGTAGTCAGTAATACCCATATGTAGTCAGTGATGCCCATGTGTAGTCAGTGATGTCCATGTGTAGGGAGTATTGCCCATGTGTAGTGAGTGATGTCCATGTGTAGTGAGTGATGCCCGTGTGTAGTGAGTGATGCCCATATGTAGTGAGTGATGCCCATGTGTAGTCAGTGATGTCCATTTGTAGTCAGTAATACCCATATGTAGTCAGTGATGTCCATGTGTAGTCAGTGATGCCCATATGTAGTCAGTGATGCCCCTATGTAGTCAGTGATGCCCATGTGTAGTCAGTAATACCCATATGTAGTCAGTGATGTCCATGTGTAGTCAGTAATACCCATATGTAGTCAGTGATGTCCATATCTAGTCATGGATGCCCATATGTAGTCAGTGATGTCCATGTGTAGTGAGCGATGTCCATGTGTAGTGAGTGATGCCCGTGTTTAGTCAGTGATGTCCATATCTAGTCATGGATGCCCATATGTAGTCAGTGATGTCCATATGTAGTGAGTGATCCCCGTGTGTAGTCAGTGATGTCAATGTGTAGTCAGTGATGCCCATATGTAGTCAGTGATGTCCATGTGTAGTCAGTAATACCCATATGTAGTCAGTGATGCCCATATGTAGTCAGTGATGTCCATGTGTAGTCAGTAATACCCATATGTAGTCAGTGATGTCCATGTGTAGTCAGTAATACCCATATGTAGTCAGTGATGCCCATATGAAGTCAGTGATGCCCCTATGTAGTCAGTGATGCCCATGTGTAGTCAGTTATACCCTTATGTAGTCAGTGATGTCCATGTGTAGTCAGTGATGCCCATATGTAGTCAGTGATGCCCCTATGTAGTCAGTGATGTCCATGTGTAGTCAGTAATACCCATATGTAGTCAGTGATGTCCATGTGTAGTCAGTAATACCCATATGTAGTCAGTGATGTCCATATCTAGTCATGGATGCCCATATGTAGTCAGTGATGTCCATGTGTAGTGAGCGATGTCCATGTGTAGTGAGTGATGCCCGTGTGTAGTCAGTGATGTCCATATCTAGTCATTGATGCCCATATGTAGTCAGTGATGTCCATATGTAGTGAGTGATGCCCGTGTGTAGTCAGTGATGTCCATGTGTAGTCAGTAATACCCATATGTAGTCAGTGATGCCCATGTGTAGTCAGTGATGTCCATGTGTAGGGAGTATTGCCCATGTGTAGTGAGTGATGTCCATGTGTAGTGAGTGATGCCCGTGTGTAGTGAGTGATGCCCATATGTAGTGAGTGATGCCCATGTGTAGTCAGTGATGTCCATTTGTAGTCAGTAATACCCATATGTAGTCAGTGATGTCCATGTGTAGTCAGTGATGCCCATGTGTAGTCAGTATTACCCATATGTAGTCAGTGATGTCCATGTGTAGTCAGTAATGTCCATGTGTAGTCAGTGATGCCCATATGTAGTCAGTGATGCCCATGTGTAGTCAGTGATGCCCATATGTAATCAGTTATACCCATATGTAGTCAGTAATACCCATGTGTAGTCAGTGATGCCCATATGTAGTCAGTGATGCCCATGTGTAGTCAGTGATGCCCATATGTAGTCAGTGATGTCCATGTGTAGTCAGTAATACCCATATGTAGTCAGTGATGTCCATGTGTAGTCAGTGATGCCCATATGTAGTCAGTTATACCCATATGTAGTCAGTAATACCCATGTGTAGTCAGTGATGCCCATATGTAGTCAGTGATGCCCATGTGTAGTCAATGATGTCCATGTGTAGTCAGTGATGCCCATATGTAGTCAGTGATGTCCATGTGTAGTCAGTGATGCCCATATGAAGTCAGTGATGTCCCTATGTAGTGAGTGATGCCCATGTGTAGTCAGTTATACCCATATGTAGTCAGTGATGTCCATGTGTAGTCAGTGATGCCCATATGTAGTCAGTGATGCCCCTATGTAGTCAGTGATGCCCATGTGTAGTCAGTAATACCCATATGTAGTCAGTGATGTCCATGTGTAGTCAGTGATGCCCATATGAAGTCAGTGATGCCCCTATGTAGTCAGTGATGCCCATGTGTAGTCAGTGATGCCCATATGTAGTCAGTGATGCCCATGTGTAGTCAGTGATGTCCATGTGTAGTCAGTGATGTCCATGTGTAGTCAGTAATACCCATGTGTAGTCAGTGATGCCCATATGTAGTCAGTGATGCCCATGTGTAGTCAGTGATGTCCATGTGTAGTCAGTAATACCCATATGTAGTCAGTGATGTCCATGTGTAGTCAGTGATACCCATATGAAGTCAGTGATGCCCCTATGTAGTCAGGGATGCCCATGTGTAGTCAGTGATGCCCATATGTATTCAGTAATACCCATGTGTAGTCAGTGATGCCCATGTGTAGTCAGTGATGCCCATATGTAATCAGTTATACCCATATGTAGTCAGTAATACCCATGTGTAGTCAGTGATGCCAATATGTAGTCAGTGATGCCCATATGAAGTCAGTGATGCCCATGTGCAGTCAGTAATACCCATATGTAGTCAGTGATGTCCATGTGTAGTCAGTGATGCCCATATGTAATCAGTTATACCCATATGTAGTCAGTAATACCCATGTGTAGTCAGTGATGCCCATATGTAGTAAGTGATGCCCCTATGTAGTCAGTGATGCCCATGTGTAGTCAGTTATACCCATATGTAGTCAGTGATGGCCATGTGTAGTCAGTGATGCCCATATGAAGTCAGTGATGCCCCTATGTAGTCAGTGATGCCCATGTGTAGTCAGTGATGCCCATATGTAGTCAGTGATGCCCTTGTGTAGTCAGTGATGTCCATGTGTAGTCAGTAATACCCATATGTAGTCAGTGATGTCCATGTGTAGTCAGTGATACCCATATGAAGTCAGTGATGCCCCTATGTAGTCAGTGATGCCCATGTGTAGTCAGTGATGCCCATATGTAGTCAGTAATACCCATGTGTAGTCAGTGATGCCCATGGGTAGTCAGTGATGCCCCTATGTAATCAGTTATACCCATATGTAGTCAGTAATACCCATGTGTAGTCAGTGATGCCCATATGTAGTCAGTGATGCCCATATGAAGTCAGTGATGCCCATGTGTAGACAGTAATACCCATATGTAGTCAGTGATGTCCATGTGTAGTCAGTGATGCCCATATGTAATCAGTTATACCCATATGTAGTCAGTAATACCCATGTGTAGTCAGTGATGCCCATATGTAGTCAGTGATGCCCATATGAAGTCAGTGATGCCCATGTGTAGTCAGTAATACCCATATGTAGTCAGTGATGCCCATGTGTAGTCAGTGATGCCCATGTGTAGTCAGTAATACCCATATGTAGTCAGTGATGTCCATGTGTAGTCAGTGATGCCCATGTGTAGTCAGTAATACCCATGTGTAGTCAGTGATGTCCAGGTATTCGAGCAAACTCTCGTAAGACCACAAGTGTCATTAGTGAAGATGAGATTCATATTACAGGGGAGACAACAAGCACGACAAATATTCCGTGCCAAAACCAGAGAACTGGTAGGAGATGAAGAATATATTGTTTCCTTGATGTAGGATGGCATCTTGATACATGACGATCAAATGATCGTCATCACATAATTCACATACACATAAGACCCCTTTTTTCAGGGCCTGGGTTTGGTCGTGGGCCTGGTCATCTATACTACCAGAGATAACGTCATGTTGTGCCTGGGTGCACGAGGGGTGACGTAATGTTTATATGCATTGTGCACCTCGGTACCGAATGCATGTATCATATATTTGTATACTGATATCACAGAATAATCCGATTATTATCGGAGTGATGTTCCAAGCATAACGCCATATGGTGCTCTACCTAATCTCATTCGTCTACAAATTTGTCTCTGAGGGGGGCGTTGTGGTGGTTAAGGCGTTCGGCTCCCAATATGTCTACAATGCTCTGTCAGATATTATTATATATTGTTCATCGTACATATCGCTGATTTTGATATTTTACTGAATCACCATTCACGAAATGAAATTTAAATATTCAATGAAATTTAAATATGGGATATTTACTCGGAATTCAATGACAAAAAAAGCACAGTAGTGATCACGGGTATCTGTGTTTTCTCTTCACCAAAGAATCGTTCAGAATGTTTTAGACAATACGCAAACACGAACGCTGAAGTGAACTTTCCGCCATATTGGATGGTGTTTACAAAATCACGTTTCGTGTATGCCGGTTACGAGACCCCTTTTAGATTCGACCGCCTCCGTGGTCTTGTGGTAGAGCGTCCGCCCGGAGAGCGGAGGGTCCGGGGTTCGATCCCCGGCTACATCATACCAAAATACGTTAAAAGATGGTACTTGTTGTTACCCTGTCTGGCGCTCGGCATTAAGGGGCTAAAACAAGGACTGGTCGGCTAGGAGTCAGTATACTGTGTCTGAGTGGCGTATTCATGTTAAACTGCGGCATGGTATCAATGAAATTTAAATATGGGATATTTACTCGGAGAATTCAATGACAAAAAAAGCACATTAGTGATCACGGGTATATGTGTTTTCTCTTCACCAAAGAATCGTTCAGAATGTTTTAGACAATACGCAAACACGAACGCTGAAGTGAACTTTCCGCCATATTGGATGGTGTTTACAAAATCACATTTCGTGTATGCCGGTTACGAGACCCCTTTTAGATTCGACCGCCTCCGTGGTCTTGTGGTAGAGCGTCCGCCCGGAGAGCGGAGGGTCCGGGGTTCGATCCCCGGCTACATCATACCAAAATACGTTAAAAGATGGTACTTGTTGTTACCCTGTCTGGCGCTCGGCATTAAGGGGCTAAAACAAGGACTGGTCGGCTAGGAGTCAGTATACTGTGTCTGAGTGGCGTATTCATGTTAAACTGCGGCATGGTATCAATGAAATTTAAATATGGGATATTTACTCGGAGAATTCACTGACAAAAAAAGCACATTAGTGATCACGGGTATCTGTGTTTTCTCTTCACCAAAGAATCGTTCAGAATGTTTTAGACAATACGCAAACACGAACGCTGAAGTGAACTTTCCGCCATATTGGATGGTGTTTACAAAATCACGTTTCGTGTATGCCGGTTACGAGACCCCTTTTAGATTAGACCGCCTCCGTGGTCTTGTGGTAGAGCGTCCGCCCGGAGAGCGGAGGGTCCGGGGTTCGATCCCCGGCTACATCATACCAAAATACGTTAAAAGATGGTACTTGTTGTTACCCTGTCTGGCGCTCGACATTAAGGGGCTAAAACAAGGACTGGTCGGCTAGGAGTCAGTATACTGTGTCTGAGTGGCGTATTCATGTTAAACTGCGGCATGGTATCTCAGTGGGCTAGCACTATAAATCGGCATCAGTCCGGACTAGTACAAGCAGCTACACACATACATACACGTGCATGCACGTCGCTATATAAGTGCAATAAACTTGGAAGCGACGTTAAATTTCACCTCACCTCACCTCACCTCACCTCACCTCACCTCACCTCACCCTATTAGATTACATATATTTCACAGACAGCTGCGAGACATACATCACTGAATTACACATTTTAGCATCAACATTAATACCAAACTTTGTCACTAATACAAATGGCTTGGATGAAATCAAGCGAAATAATTTAGTTGTGAAAACGAACGCTGAGCTGGTCTTGAGATGTCTTATACCAGGGCAAAATCGATTTTCTACTTTATAGCTAGCTATATTTCCTATAGAATGTATAATGTTATACATATGCATACAGATCCATTTCATAAAATATTTATGTCGTTCTGATATTTGAAACGTGAAATGTACAAATTGTCGCACAGTACTTTTATCGATCTGTCGACATTTGCTGTTTTTTGACGCATAACAAAATCTCGGTCAATACTTGACAGTGTCTCTTTTTTAAATCAATAATATTTGCAGGTACATTTAAACCAGCAGTTCGGGAATTTAACACCATATTATAGTCTGGGATATACCAAGTGCCGCGCAAGCGCATTAAATACACAAACGTGCGTGCGTACGTGCCTGCCTGCGTGCGTGCGTGCGAGAGAAACCTCAAACGCTGAGAGCCCAAGGAATGACGTAATACATTGAGCACTTCGGCATGCATCTATCAGCACGGCGAAACAAGCCGATGAAACGTTTTACAAATTGCAGCGCCATCGGCCATTCTTTAATGTCAACGTTGTCCCAAGCAGTTTAGTGTCCTTTTTGTGCACTGGCGTTCTTTAGTACACATTGTTCTTACTTTACAGTTGACGTATTGTGTTTGCGAGTTGTAAACAGTAACCTTTAATTGTAACATTCATTCTTTATTCGTAACATTTGACTATTATTGCGTACTTTTATCCTTTATTTCAACTTTGAACTTTTTGGCCGAAAGTCTGCCCATACATACGTTCATATGGTTTATATGGCAGTGGACTCATTTTAAGAAGTGCCTAATATATATCATCGTAAGTCCATTATACTTCTTTGGCTTCAGAACTCTTTATACATACCATCAGAAATTAGAATCTGACAAAACTGTTATACACAATGTCAAGTCACCTTCTATATCGACGCATTGTTTTCTATCGACACATTAACTAATACAGTAATTCGTATCGATGCAATCACTCACCTGTACAAACCAAGTCTGTTTGTGACCAAGTTCCATTAGTCAGGCACACTGATGTTCCGGTGCCCGATGATGAGTACCCTTCAACACAGAAAGAGTTGGCTTCGTCACCAAACGTCGTGTTGACGTAGTCGACCATGGCGCCGTCGTGATTGGGAGGGAAGCCACAGTCTACAACTGGGGTAACCCAAAAGACAATCAATGTTATAAACGAGTGCAGCTTGGTATCGCTCTTTCAAAATCTATCCTCAGGTTTTACAAAACAAATAATTGTTAACTGGACTGAGAAAAAAACCGTTCTTTGCCTCCAAGTGCCCCATACTGATAATCAAATTTACATTGGCATTAGTTGCAGGGTTTGTAATTCTTTTCATTCCTGAATATTCTCCAAATTTTAACTTTCACCGCAGTTTTGATTATGACGGTCAAACCCCCCTGAAGACAACACTTATCACTATATGAGCATGGACAGGTTTAGTTGGGTTCTAACCTATCATCTTCAAAGATGCTGTAGTTTGCTGTGTAGAGTTGTGTCCCCTAGTCGTTGATTTGAATCCCAGATTTGTTATTATATACGATCCTTATTCGTGCACATAGGTTTCACCAAAGTGGGTTTAAAAGTTTTTACATGTTTTATATTTGACATTCAGTAATATGACAGACAAAATGCTCAAAACACTAATAGACTCCCAAATCACCTTTAAATCCTAATTTGGATTTCAGTATGGTGTTATGGATGAGATAATAGTTGGGATGTTTAAAATGTTTCCAAACAAATAGACGTTAATAATAAACTTACTTGTACAATTTAGGTCTATAGTTGACCAAGTGGAGTCATCAGTGCACGTGCTGATCCCTGAACCTCCGGAATTGTCATAGCCTTCTCTGCACACGTACGTGGCGGTGGAATTGTACGACGTTGACGTCACCATCACATTTAGTTCGACCATAGTAGGCGGCAGCCCACAATCGATTACTGAAAAGATATCCAGGTTGATACTGCAATGAGGGCATGTTTGTTTGTTTGTGTGTCTGCAGTTTAACGCCGAGCTCAGCATTATTACAGCTATATGACGGCGGTCTGGAAATAATCGAGTCTGGACCAGACCATCCTAGTGATTGACATCATGAGCATCGAACCACGCAATTGGGATACGATGGCATGCATCAACCAAGTCAGCGAGCCTGACCACCCGATCCCTTTAGTCACCTCTTACGACACGCATAGTCACCTTTTACGTCCAGCATGGGTTGCTGAAGACCTTTTCTCTACCAGAAAGAGCCCAGCGATTTGACATTCAACGGCTCGAGGTCTTGCTTTTAATTTGCTTCAGCAAATGTTGCATATGTGTATACTCACTCACTCACTGTTACGGTATACTCGTTTCTCAAATACAGTAAAATACGTTTATAACGAACACACTTATAACGAACTGACGGATAATACGAACTTAATTTTGGTCCCCGCCATTTGCTGTATAGATGTTGTGTGTATGCTTATAACGAACTACGGTTAAAACGAACTTAAATTAGTGGTCCAACTGAGTTCGTTAAAACCGTAGTTTACTGTATATCGTTTATGTATTTTCGTCACCCAATATTCATTGGGTGTTCAATAAACTTCTATTTACTACAGACAGAGATGTCACACTCAAGTTAACTCATGTGTCACCTACAGTACCATTAGATCAGTATTATCATCTGAGTATAAGGGGTTAAGTCATGCTATATTCTTTTGTGTAAAAGGCCTGAAATCATGTCTGAAAGTATTGACTAATATATGGGGAAACACTTAAGTTCCAGACAAAGTCGCCTCAGTGTCTGCAACTAAAAGTGCAAAATCAATTAAAGAAGTGCCATCAATATGCATGCACTACCAGTAGGGAACACGCCGTCCTGCCTTCGCATGTGCCATGTGTGCGAGTGTGTTGGTTTTAACGCTTTCAACATTCATTGTAGTACTATCAAGGCGTGTCAATTTAAATTGTCTTTATTTCGTTACAAAGGAAAGACAAAACAGAACTTAACATATTCCTTCAATGGAACTCTTTGGAACAAAGCTGCTACAGGTCTCAGAAACGACATGGTTTATAAAGTACACAGACATGTATTGTAGCGGGGACTTTATAAACTACATTGGAAACTGTTCGTTCAAGCTCGTTTTCGAGATACAGAAATCAGATATGCTCCTCTGACATGAATGCGTCTCTCAGTCCCATAACGCAACTAAGAAGCCTCGAGTTGAATCGTGTCGGAGAAAAACATCTGATTTTATTAAGATTGAGTGTCCACTATTAAGTACTTTCCATTAAGATCATATTTCCTCTTACCCATGCAGGTGAGCGTGACCTCACTCCATGTCCCGTTAAACAAGCACGTGGTCCTATTATTTCCGCCAGTTTGCACGTGTCCTTCCTTGCAGGCATACTCTGTTGTCGACCGGAAGTTGGTTAAGGATAGGGTGTGGGAAGCCGACGCCACATCCGGGGGACTGCCACAATCAATGTCTGCCAGGTAAAGATTTGCTGTAGTTAGTATTCTTACTCATCTCTGCATATGATGAATAGATAGAGTCATCTTCCTGAGTCAAGGGAGTTAACTGACGATAAAAGTCCACTTACAACCCGTGCTGAACTAGGCTGGAATTATCAAGTAACATTTTGGCTGGGCTAAGTCAAATCAAAATCGCGTAAGGAAATCGGCATCCGGTCTATAATTAACTAGGTGACTGACGTGAAGATATCGGCCGATTGCGGGATTGGCAGAGTAAGGGTACCGTAAACTGAGCGTCGACAAATATTTTCCCAATATTTTCATGTTTTTAATCCAATGCACTTAGACTTTGACGCACTTGGAGAGGTAAGCCCCATCGTATTACAATAAAGATATTTATCATCTATCAGATTGTCTTATTATCCCCCGCCCCAACGAAGTTGGCGGGGGATATAGAAATGGGTTCCTTCCGTGTGTGTGTGTGCGTATGTGCGTGTGTGTGTGTGTGTGCGTGTGTGCGTGTGTGCGTCCCGAAATTGTTTCCGGAGCATAACTCAGAAACTGTTAAATATTTCTCTACGAAACTTAGCATGTCTATCAGACTCATGCTGAACTGGTGTCTTTTGCTATTTAGGAATTTTATAATTTTTTATTTTTTACGTTTCTATGGCAACAAGTTGGACTTAGGTTCTATAAGGGTGCTGTTCGTTTCCGGAGCGTAACTCAAAAACCATTAAATTCTTTCTTACAAAACTTTGCATGTCTACTGGTGCCTTTTCCTATTGAGGAATTTTAAAAAAATTATTTTTTACGTTTCCATTGCAACAAGTTGGATTTAAGTTTTAATATAGGATTGGTTTACTTAAGGAGTATAACAAATAAACTGTTAAATATTTCTTTGCCAAACATTGCATGTCTATATATAAAGCGCATACTGAACTAGTGCCATTTGATATTAAGGAGTTTTAGAAATGTTTATTTTAGAATTTCCATTGCAGCTATTTTGATATGGGCTAAGAGAAGTGTTGGGTCAGTTACCTGGTTTGGGACTATAACGTGTTAAAATGGGCGGTGGCTATAGATGACTGTGTCAGCTATACGCTTGTTACATTTGTTTTGAAGCATATAATATGAGAGGTGGAATCTGATTGGTCAATAGGAGGTGCATAAAAGGGACATAACTCGTAATAACCACTGGTGGCGCTACGATCGAGCCATGAAATTCTATCCAGCAAGGGTAGAAACTGGATTTTTATAGTCTGTTAATTCCCTTGCTTCGGTAAGATGAGGTAGAGTATATGAATCGAGTCGAGCTTAACTCCGTTTGTGAAGCGCATTTCAGATATACCACGTCATGTCAGCTCGTTGTTGGAGAAGCTCAAAGGGATGTTTGTCGTATGTCACATTGATGAAACCCACAGGTAAACAGGGGAGGAGTTCCATTGATGTACACCTTCTTTTTTACAATGGCTGTGTTCTTTCGGTGTGGAAACCGACGCCGTTACCATCACTTGCTTGACAACGGTATTAGTATCTACTGTTCAAAACGGTGTTAGTTCTAAACCGAAACGTCGCAACCATTGTAATGAAGAAGTTATCCATAGACCTATCCCCCTTGTTCACCATACGAACTTCTATATGCCACTTAAAAGACCCGCGACGATCCGGATCAGAAGAGGTCTTCAGCAACCCACGCTTGCCGTAAAAAGCGACTACGCTTGTCGTAAGAGGCGACTGATAGGATCGGGTGGTCAGGCTCACTGACTTGGTTGGTGCATGTCATCGTATCCTAATTGCGTAGATCGAAGCTCATGATGTCAAATACTTGATTGTCTGGTCCAGACTCGATTATTTACGGACCGCCATCATATAGCTGTAATATTGCTGGGTGTGGCGTTATACAACAAACAAACCCAACTGCGTGGGTCGATGCTCATATTAATCATTGGATCGTCTGGTTCAGACTCGATTATTTACAGACCGCGGTCACATAGCTAGAATATTGCTGAGTGCGGCGTTAAACATCAAACAAACATAAAGAAGTTATTGTTTTGTGCTGACAGGGCAGATCATTATCAGGTTGAGCCCGGTCACGCCAGAGAACCATAGGCCACTTGGTAGCCAGTACTTCAGGGACAGAATTCAAGGTTTGACCAAACACTCATTATCTTGGGTGTTGGATTTGATTCAGCGCTCTCTACAGCTGTCTGCCTCTTTTATAGTAATAATAAAAATTGTTTCTGCCCCTTTATATATTTCCACCGTTTTTTACATAAACAAATTATGACCATATTTTTTAACTTGAATGAACGATATTGAACGAGCATTGATCAATATAATTGTGTCATACAGATATGTGAGACATTGTGACCATCCGATTCACATAAGGTACCTAATAATTATCTAACCCGTTGGTGGGAGTATTGTCTAAGAGTAAGTATTTATGCTTTATTATAACTCTTTTGGCATAGGAGACAATAAATCATGGAAGCAGTTGATTGAATCTTAAATTAATAGCTGTTGTTTATTTACCATTCGTAAGAGTTAGTACTAACAGAGCCCCAAAGGCCAATGTCCCCATCTTGGACAACACAAGTCTGCCCATCAGGGGTTCTACAAACAAACTTTAAACAGTCAATGAGCATTGTCATTCAAGATCTTTTAATATCTACAAAAGCAATCGATACAAACAGACCTGAAATACCCGGAAAACCCCTCTTATCAAATGTGGCAGGCTGAGGTATTTATAAATATGTACATATCTTTTATTTAAGATTTCTTAGTAATTAGAAGTAGGTAGCATATATGTTACTGTCAATGTATAAAATGACTGAAATTTTCGTTTAGGCAATTTGCACAATTCCAAAATAATTCAGTCATTTAACAACTCTTTTTTCATTTAATATATTATGATTACAAATTCCAAACATTTTTCTCTCTATTTCATCACTAAATGAAAGGCTTATAAGAGAACGAAAGTATGATATGGTAAATTAATATTGGATATACAATGTCTCAACTTTCTGGTTTTAATAGATCTTAACTAACAATTTGATATCATTTGCATGTACGTCTTGCTGCAAAATAGCTGGAAACAACACGTGTCTTCTTAAGGTAAGGGGTGCCTATACATAATCCCAGCTCAATCCATAAAGTGGTTCTTGTGAAAGTCGATGGTGTCAAACGACGTCTCAGTACCAGCAGACACACCAGTCGTTGTTGTGTTTTCATATTGATGTGTCGGATGTTACTATGTGTCAACTTATCCATTGGCAAAATGTATTGGCGAAGTAAATGGATGGAACAAAGGTGTGAGCGATGGCATTTAACGTCAACCATATAATGAATTAGCCACTTTAGCAGGTACTTAATTTTGCATCGACCAAGACAGATGATGCATTGTATGGACACTTAATACGGTTTTGAGGGGATGGAGCAAGCATAAGAGAACACTTGAGGGAGCATATTGTTCAAAATGCTTTTGAAAGGCGTATACAAATAAACACACTCAATTCTAATCGAATATCCATGCGTTACGTCACATGGTCATGTTTCAGACCAACGTGTTCCAATCTGTTCTCTTGTGAAAACTTTGTTGCAATATTAGAAGCATTGATGAGAATTCTGCAGGGGTACTTGATAATGTGGCCGGAACGCAGAGGTCAAAACAAACGGACCGATCTCATAACACTGTAAATCTCAACAACACTGTAAATCTCAACAACTACAGCTTTAAATAAACAGGTTAACATTACATATTGCCTTCAAAACATACTTGTTGTTATTACAGTCCTTAACCAAGAATATAATACTTTGGTAATATTCTGTGATTATTGGGTTTCCGTGTGAATAGAGTTATGTGACAGTGTATATTGTTAACTTATTGTTGATATTAAGTGGCAGTTTTATTGAGGCGGTCTATAATGTTGACCTTGGCAGTGACCTTGATGTAGAGTGACCTCCCTTGGTTGTTTTTGGTCAAACGCGGTCCTGGGCATTACAGAGTGAGTGAGGGAGTTGCGTTTAACGCCGATTTTAACAATATTCCTGTTATATCGCGGCGTGTCAGCTTTATGTGGGAGGAAAGCCCGAAGTGATGCAGGTCTCAGACGTTTATCACTTCGGTGAAACCCACGGGCACGGGTTTAGTACTGACAAACCTAGAAACATAATAACGGCGAACCGGGATTCGAACCCACAATCATAGGTTTCTGGTGTCCCCAAGGGACGCAACTCTGCACAGTGAATCGCGGCGCCTTAGACGACTGGGCCACCCGTGCCCCCTATCACTGTACTATGTTGCATATACCACATTGCATATACCACACAGCATAAACCACGTTGCATATACCAAATTGCATAAATAAATTCTAATCCCGGCCAGATTTCAAAATGTATCGTTTTAACTTTCCTGCGATCTGAGCAAAAGTGGATGACGTCACCAGCTGGTCATGATGACGTCAGTGCGCAGATCTGAGTTCCTACATCCAAGATCTTGATTGGATATGGGAACCAAACAGTGGAGTAAAGTTCCCCTTTAAGACCAACAAAAAGCAGGAAACGACACTGGTACTTATTGTACTCATTTAGGTCGGCAACTTTGAAAATGAAATGTCAACATACTAGCATTTTAATGAAACACCTGTTTGATCACATTGAATGAAACGTCCCTCCTGATTGGTATCTTCCTGTTTTCCTGTCATCATGTTTTGAATGTTAACATTATTTTTATCGAGCAATTTGCTGTACGAGGGTCCGTCTATGCTAAAAACATGATCATTCTGTAATTTACAGACCTACAGATATCACGAACTGGTTTTCGTGGTTCCTTGGAGATCATTCGTTGTCTCGATCAGCCAGTCTGTGGTTGACATTATGAATATACACTACCCCCTTTACTATCCTTCTCTACTCGGCGGTTTTAGTATAGTTTTCATCCAGGCAGCATAAAATAAGTAAGTAAGAAAACAGAACTATGTTGATTTTTTTACGTCATACTATAACCTGACTTTGACATCGACACCATACACTGGAATAAACATTCTGTAACTAAGTGATTAGCTTGAGTGTACGGTATCTCCCCATACACACTTAGGACCACTTAGCAGCAGTTGGCGCTTGCATTATATACACATCATTGATGACTTTGTCCAATTAGTTCTGTCAGTTCATTGTTAAGGTTTTGTTCGTAGGAATACCTTTGAAGTTGACGGTTGACAAAGTAGACATAGTTTTACGCTAACAACTTCACATAGGCCATTACAGATTTAAATAAGTTGTTTCCCATAAATTGTGTCTACTTTGACACTGTTAAGGTTGTTAGTTTAGTGCGAAAAGAAGTAAAACTCATTATGTGTTAATAGAAAACTGAAACTTGTAAACAAAGATTATCTGCGAAAGTCGTGGTGGCATGTTGAAAAGAAAAAAGGAACACTGACTTCAATCGTTCGTTGTGTTTCGCGACAAACAATACAGACTTCAGATTGTTTCATCTTTGTGCATTGTCCAAGGGTCGGCACTTACAAATGGAAAGAGATGACTTGTTTATTAACTACATCCTTCAGAGTGAATGACTCGGCAATGTAGCATAATTGTCACTTACCATTGTCGTTCTCTTCGATTTAAAGATATTGTTCTGGCAGCTGTAGAATTGTGACAATGTTCTACTGACTTATATTGACGATGGCACGTTCTGTAAGAAAGGACGCTCTCATCCACTGCGAATATTATACGTATTACGCTGGATGAAAAAACTAAAATGTTTCTCTACTCGGATTTTTTAGTTTCGTTTTAATCCAGCTAACATGACATACAGAACCACGTTTCCATCTCAAACATGCAAAAGTGCATATAAATGGCACACTTTATTTCATTCGTTACTGTTAAAGCATAAAGGTTTCAATGTGTTCAGTGTTTCCCCAAAACTTATGTTTCATAGAAATACTATATGAGAACAATTAGTAAGATGTCAACGTTAAATATGGTATATATGTATAAATCGCCAACGCCAAAAATTAAACTTGATTATCTGTTGAAACAGATTCCATTGGGCATAAAAGGTACCTAGTGATGACAATTATATGAATGGATCACTGAAGAACATGATGACATAAGGTGTTGGCGTAAAGGGTAAGCCTGTCCTGCTCTACCGGTATAACCCGCTACTTGCAATTTGCAAGAAAATGTCAGTGTTTGTTTGTTGCCAAAAGCCGTACTCAGCATTCTCCTCCCAAACAATCGAGACCTGACCAGTCAATCCAATGACACGACAACACATTTACTGCTTCTGTTGAAACTAAAAACGATACGTTAACTTTGAATTACTTCCGCTGCATACATGTGCAGAGTGTGCTGCTGACAATGAAGGAGAAACACTTCAGAAACATGTTGGTTTGCTTCACAAGCGGGAGCGGTTTTAATGTCTCGGCCAAAACCAATGTTTTCTATGAATGACTCAGCATAATGATAAATTGAGCTTATGATGAAATGTTTAACTTCATAATGTGTGTGTGTTCTATCGATACAACTTTACTACCTGTGGCCAGACATTACTGCCTAGGGATATTATGAACTAGAATGCACTTGATGGGACAATTACTCCAGGTGTACAATGCCACTTTACTACCTGTGGCCAGACATTACTGCCTAGGGATATTATGAACTAGAATGCACTTGATGGGACAATTACTCCAGGTGTACAATGCCACTTTACTACCTGTGGCCAGACATTACTGCCTAGGGATATTATGAACTAGAATGCACTTGATGGGACAATTACTCCAGGTGTACAATGCCACTTTACTACCTGTGGCCAGACATTACTGCCTAGGGATATTATGAACTAGAATGCACTTGATGGGACAATTATTCCAAGTGGACAATGCTCCCCCCACCCCCCATCACCCACCCCCATCCCCCACCACAACAATAGAAAATTCGCAAAACAGGGACAAACTTACCCAATAGCGGCAAACATATGCCAGGTGGCTTCTTCTTTCTGACAAATACTTCAGTGTCGGAACATTTTGCGGAAACCACCTGAAACCAAACATTCTCTGATATGGCCAAGGTACGTTTCAAAATGAGCAGGACGTCAAGTATATTTATTAGTTTTGCCATCGGGGACCGATATTCTTATTAAACTTATGAAGTAGCGAGGCTTTTAACTGTCAAACGCTCGTCTCTATTTACGTAATTTGGATATATCTGTGTTTAATGGTAAAAAAACCTTTAATGTAATAGTTGTATCAGACTTTCAGATTCCTGTGGTTTTCTCCGTAGGCAGAAAACTAAAAAATATCAAAATCGGCATCAAACATTACGGTTGGTTGGTTTGTTGTTTTACACCGCACTCAGCAATATTCCAGCTATATGACAGCGGTCTGTAAATAATCGAGTCTGGACCAGACAATCCAGTGATTCATATCATGAGCATCGATCCACGCAATTGGGATCGATGATATGCTTCAACCAAGTCAGCGAGCCTGACCACCCGATGCCGTTAGTCAACTCTTACGACAAGCATAGTCGCCTTAACGGCAAGAATGGGTTGCTGAAGACCTATTCTACCCCGGATCTTCACGGGTCATCAACCATTACGGCATAGTTTAGGCAAGGGAAGATAACTCTACCGTAACATTTCGGACAATACTGACAGTAGCCGAACTAAAATTATGCCTTGATTTTATAGAGGACAAACAAATGATTATTGATCCAACTCAACACGGAGAATGACAAGCATGATAGAACGGTAATTTTGAGTTCGATTTTGATGACATTATCTGAAAACAATTTTGGTCAATAAATGTCATTATGAACATCAAATATTTTATGTCACAGAAACTGCTCTTGCGTGAATCATCGTAATCCCTAACGATTTCCTTTGATGCATTGAGCTCACAATGTCCTCTCACATGAGATGAATCGCAATCCATTTTCACCACCACAATTGCGTAATAGCTAAAGATTTTCTCTTCGCGTTAAATGTGCGCTTCGTCTCAGCCATCGATTATTCTTTAACGTCAAAGGGATTTACTCATACTCAAAAAGAATATATTGATGCAATACTGGGCGGTAGAATTAGATTTCAAAAATGTCTACATAACACAACTCATCACTTATTTAAATGGTGCTCTATATCAACTTGTGCACCTAACCATAGAAACTAATTTCTCAACACTATCGCTACTCAATTGTGCATCACGAAATAAGTGAAGTGGACCCGAATGTAAGGATGGGCAAAGGCCCTTTGGGAAGCAAAACTCATTGACAATACAGTAATGCTCCTGTCAGGAAGAATGTGTTTGGTATCTGTAAACCCAAACAGACAAAGTCATCTCGGAGCAACCGTGTATCCATTCAATATATTGTAAATATGATCTGTGGATTTTTGAGGACAAAATGGGCATCAATCCTTAAGGGTCTTAAAAAGTGAAACGTTTCATGGAGATGCAATGAAATGTTTATGACACAAGAAACAAACCCTATCCTCATTTAAATGTGTTCATTGGGAATACAATAAACAGATTAACACAATTAAAAAACATTTTTATTAGCATAAGGAATATATAATAAAAGGAAAGTTCATTGAAGTTTCCGACTGCATCATAAGCAGATCACCAAGGATCTCTTGTGTGACCAGCGAATGTGATCATCACTAGGATATTTTAAGTATTATATGGTAGGTCAATACAGTATGAACTTGAAGCAATGTCAACAAATTTTGGAACTTTCACTTCACAGTATATGAAGCAGATCTTGAAGGGTTTAGTTCTAAAACATCATGCCACTTTTAATGGAGACATAGCATTCTGTAGACATGGCTTCATGTCAGTTTGACGTGAAGCAAATGTACATTTTGAGCTTATTACACTTTATCAGCAGTTGTCGGGATGTGAGGAGAAGTGTCATCTCATTGATGAGTATGAGAATCGAATAATCGCCGACGTGATCGAATCCACTCACTCACTCATTGGCCACATCGGGGCCAAACAAGCCATATTGAAACGTTTCGTACACGCAACAACTTGACTGCCGCAGACCTTATAGAAATATCAAGAATGATAATGCTTTCCTTCAAATCAAAGTGTTTCTGTTCAGCACACAAGAACCCGTTTTCAAAATCAGCCGTACTCTCCTACACAGAGTTCCTTGCGGCCGGCAGACAGCTAGCATAGTACCTCTGCCACAGGCCAGCGCCATGTGACGATTCGTCACATCTTTCACAGTCCATTCAAGATATTGCATATGCTTTTCATCCGTTTCATGTTTGACAAGTCTACACATTTTCATAAACAAATGTCAAAGAATGGTTAACTTTCATTGAGAAAGTATGCAAATACGTAAAAATCTACTTGTTTTTGCGTAGTTATCCTATGTTAACATTGGTTGTACGGCTCCACGTGCTGTCATCGAAGCCCAACGGAGAGCTAGCGACACGGTCACTTTGATGCATAAATATATATTGTCATGCAACTCACTGTCGCAATTGTAAAAGCATATCTATATAGTTATGCAAAACAATATGTAAAGCGCCCCCAAATACTTGCATTAGTCCGTTCTATACTGATTTCTGAAAAAGCGCGTTTGTTTACAAACAAGAGAAAAGTCCGGTCACGTGATATGCAAATTAGCCTGTGGCAGTGGCGTTATGCTGAGTCACCACTGCGACGGAGTGTGAATCAGTCGTATTTTTATGCGAAGTTTGTGCGGCGGGATTGTTGGTATACAGTTAACATGGAAACCATCTAAAATTACCCCAGAGGTGACCGAGGTATTACAGACATATCGAGTGGGCACAAATGGCTTGTATGAATAACATGCATGCCTTACCCCAGGTGGCTGTGAAGGCTTTGAAGTCACAACCACATCATCACCAACTTGCGGGTCTCCTCCTAGAGTGAGACCACATGACCTTGACCTCACATTGTAGTTGAATGTGATACATAGGGGTTGGTAGGAACATAGTGTCTGGCACTGAATGACATTTTGAACAGGCGACGTGTAGTACTGTGACTGGTCACTTGTGTACCCGACCTTTGTGGACTGACCAGTCAGAAATGATGACAGAGCGGTCACTATCTGCACTTTGAACAGTATCACAACGATGCTTTCTTCATGTCTTAACATTGTCCTTCCGTGTCTTCTGAACTGGGCTTTCTGTAAAATAAGATAGACAGTTAAGAGATCAAATATAATATGAAAACAAACATCTCTAAATATTTGGCCTGTGGACTGTAGATTGGATGTCACGTTTGAACAAGTCATCTAAGACACCGCAATTGGCTTTGCAGAGTTGCGTCCCTTATTCGTACCAGGATCGGGTAATCTTTGTGTCGAATCCCAGATTTTGATTCCTTGGTATGTCAGCATTGGTCTGCCACACATAATTGTCCAAAGGAAATGAAGGGAAAAAATCATTTGTACGCAAGGTTTTAAAAAAACGAAATTGTTTAGTTAACATGCCGGTTGTCTGAAAAATAACGTGTACTGCATCAAGAAATTAGATAAAGGCCAAACCTATCTTCACAAACTTTGGGGGTTACAGTTTCGGCGTTCGTCGTGGTGTTTGAAAAGTGATTGGTTGTCAGGAGTCATACATTGCCTTAAATGCAGACAGACAGACAGTCTAAAGGTTTCATCGAAAATTATCAATTGACCTAGAATATTCTTGAAAAAGTTATTTTGCTTCAGACTGTTGAAACGAAAGTAGCTGCCTACCACAAGAATCGAACTGTTGCAAGGCGTTTTTCTTCATTCGTGGTTTTAAATAATCTCAAAACAATTCCACGACCTTACTTCGTCATGACCTTCACACGGCGGATTCAGGAGGAAGAATCACTACCCCATTGCTGACCTGTTACTGGGCAGCAGCGGAATAATAAGAAAAGACCATCTCGGAGATGCAGCCATGAGTTTTTCAGATCGAGTACACAAGCAGACAGCAGGATGATTCAAAATTCAATGTCTACACACATACAAATCAATAACCGATGGGATGATTCATAAACTGAGCGAGACGGAGCGAAAGTTTGATAAGACTCATTGTCTTCAGCGCCAACACGTTTAGGTGGCGATGACCTAGTTGTCACTCTATTTTTCTCAAATCTCTCGTGTACTTCTACTACTTGTACATTTCACCAACGTAGTAACAGACCTCCCATATCATCTGGAAAATACCCAGTACCTCAAGGGTAGGTCGTCTCCCTTTCAAAGGAAAATATATAAGGACACAACTTCGAATTCATAAAATTCTAATCGCATAGACTATGCTGTCATGGTTTGATCAATGCGTACTTTCTAACCATCAAATATTGTTTTACAAATTATGATGTATGGAACCTATTTATGGCTTCCAGAGACGAATAAAGTGGCTTATAGTTATAGATTGGCATTCTTAAGCAAACAATTAAATAAAATGTTTCTCCAACTATGATTATCTCTGAGCATATTTCACAATAGCCACAGGCATGTTGATCAGTGGCCAACGGAAAATTGGTTCGCACTGAAAAAACCTGTTTAAAGTAACCATGCGGTACATGTCTGGAAAGAGCTCTAAACACCAATGGGAAATGGTTGGAACACCTTCATATTTTCAAGTAGTCACGTTTTTGATGTTTTTTAAAAAAAATTACCCACTCTGTTGTAGTATTTCAAAAAATACATTTCTGTCGAGAAGATAAAAGTGTTAAACAACTGTAGCTCATTCATGTCAGCAAGAGCAGACACTTTAATATTATGACCATTGTGATGAAGAAAGTGTGATCTCAGATATACTCTTCAAAAAAAGAAACGCAGTACGGATATTTTGGGCCATGAAAGCAAAATCAGTGGAGGTGCCAAATGAAGAGGTTTAATGTGTTATAGTGTCAAATAACCCGGATCAAAATTATCACAGCAAGGACATGCAAACCATTGGTTGGGAAACACGTACGATTCGGAAATAACGCATCAAGTGCATTAACAAAAGGGTCATGGAGCTGCACGTACTGCACGTGCAGTAGCACGTTGAACGGTATTAAAGTGCAGGGTTTTTGATTGCCTGGCATCTGCGTCAATCAAACAGTGACAGTTCAACAACATGCCAAGAATAACAGTAGTGCAAAGAAACAACGTCATAGGCCGCTTGCAGGCAGGGGAATGTAACGCCCAGCACCATCACAAGGCTATGGGATCGGTTTCAACAGAGTTACAGCATGGGCCACCTCAACCGCATCCCAAATACCCGGACTGCGCAGAATCTCCGACCAGACCGTACGAATCCGTTTAAGAGCGGCAGGTCTACGTGCGTCCTATTGAGTCGACAACATCGTCAACAACGCTTGCATTGGTATCGTCAACACAGGGTATGGCCTCAACTGCGATGGAGAGATGTCAGGTTCAGCGACGAATCAAGATTTCTCCTTCGTCTTCGACAGACGTGGGGAAGAACGTTACGTCGAAACTGCATACAGGAAGTTGACAGGTTTAGTGGGGGTAGCGTTATTATGTAGGCGGCTATCTCTCATCATGCCAGGACGGATTTGGTCCATATCCAGGGCAGTCTTACGGCTCAATGATACATCAACGAAATTTTCCTACCACACGTCCACCCAAATGCACCCAACGGCAACGGTGTATTCCAGAAGGACAACGCTCGATCGCATACAGCACGGATCACAAGAGCCTGCCTACACAACAACAACAACGTTGATGTTTTCCCCTGGCCATCCGGATTCCCGGATTTGAACCCGACAGAGCATCTGTGGGATGAATTGGATAGACGGCTACGCCGACGTCAATCACAACCCCATACGTAGCAGCACTTGGCTTTTGCGTTGCAGGCCGAATGGGCTACCATTGATTCCAACGGAAGACATACCCGTTATTGATGGTAGCTGACCTTCACCTTGGACTTTTCCTATGTACTGATAACTGAGATGACTACAATCACCAGGTGTTCTCTCCACAACATTTTTGCTGAATACCTGGTACGGTTCCCCGTATCAATGTATTTTCCTGACTCACACACATCTGGATTTGCGTTCCTGTTTTTGAACAGTATATAAGTTCATGACAAAACTCCCAAATTTTGTGTTCACAAGTAAGTGGATATTTTTCGACCAGTGATCGTTGATGACGAAAACCTTATATGTATGAAGCATGATAAACGGATGCTTCCGGGTCAAATCCACACACAACGTTGAGTTGTCTCTTACAAATACCATCATGAATTCTGTGAAAAAGGCGATTAGTGTGTATACACGTGACTCGAGCTGTATCAACATATAAAACAGTCGGGGCATATTGATAACCCATGACTTCACAGTTATGCATCGATTACAAGTTAAGATATGAATGGATTCCTTATCAAGAGGTAACTTGTAAGAAACTTACGTCCTCACTGTTGAAACAAATAGTTTCGTTCCAAAACAGACAACCTAAAGAATTAGGTGTTGTTTTCAAAATGCGAAATGCAGGATAATGTGAGCCGTTATCATGATTTTTTGTTCTCATTTTTCAAATGGCAACGTTCCGAGCAATCACTAAAACAATCGCGATAAATATAATTTCCAGCGTCATTGAGCCTTAAATAGATGTTTAAAGAAAAAATTTGAAGATTTGGTGAACGTGTAAAACTTTAATCATGGAAATCAGACAAATTCCTGACTGACAATTGAACGTTAAAACAAGACTCAGCAAAGTATATACAACGCGGACTTATGGTCGATCCGTTTTCCAGTGTATTTCAATCGCAATAATAATCTCATAAGGCTTGAACAAACGTTTGGCTCTTAAAATATATTTCACATTCCTAAATCATCGCCACTGGATTATTTTCTGCTTATGTAAACGCTTGGTATTTTGGAAAGCCTGTATGACCTAGGTTTTGTTGTGTCTTTTTGTCAGTGCTTGGCAAGCTGGGAGTAAAATATTACTTAGTGTCATGTGGAATGATTATGTTAATATTTGACATGTTGTAAGATATAATGTTCCTGTTACTGTCCAGAAATTAAGTACGTTCAAATACATAAAAAAAGGTCGCAAATTGTTACACTGCCACCTTAGTGGACAGAGCTTTCGGCCCAGAGAGGGGGAGTTGATTGATGCTGTTTTCATGGGAACATACTAAGGTAGAAAAAATGAAAATAAAAATGTTCAAAAACTCAATATTGAAATATTTCGCCCATGGACGAGAATATTTTCCTTTGCTCAAAACTAGTGGTTTTGTTCCGCAAATACATACAGGTGTTCTTACAAATTTCATGATACATAATGTAATTCATTTTAACTTATTTTTCATTCAACTATTTTATAGCGTTATTGAAATATTTCGCCCATGGGTGAGAATATCTTCCTTTGCTCAACAGTTTTAGTTTCGCAAATACATAAAGATGTGTCTACAAGCATGACACATGATTCAACTTATTTTAACTTAATTCAACTTATGTGTGGCGTTATTAAAATAGTTCGCCCATGTTTTCGTCAGTCCCTTTAAAACATTAACTAATTGTGTGCAAAGTATATTATATGATGTGAAATATACTTTATATTATCTCATTACGTTACTATTTAAAAAGGGCCTTTGGTTGGATGTTTCTTTTTATAGAAGTTTTACAAATTTCACCTTTTTTACCTTTTGTAGCGATCTTTAATGAACAAGGCCTTCCCTCTCAAAACGTTTTGATAGTTTATCATACGAATTCATGCGCGTGTATTCCAATTCATTGGCGTTATTTTCCACAACATTAAAGTTTAGTTAGTTTTTTTTCATTTCCCATTTTATGTCTCCTTGTTACATCACACAGGGCAATTAAGTGACATTAGGTATACAGGTACAATATACAGGCACGCGTGCGCGTATTTTAATGGAAAAAAAACCCGATTCGTCTTTCATTGCATAACGTCTGGCTGAATATCTCACATTCTAACGAAATCTCGAAATAATTGTTTAGTTATAGGCGGTGTCGAACTGACCAATGGAAATTATGTTTAATGGTGATTGAGGAAAACTTGAGTGAATATTATGACACAAGAGCAACTTTTAAATGCATTTCCACTTTTGGTGTGAAATGGGAACAGTTCAGGAAAAGAAAACAACAGACATCTTATGATACTTCTCATATTCTCATTGGTACGTTGTATCTAATTACAATGTCGGCCATATTTACAGGTGATTC